TCCGGCTTGGTTTGACTTGTACTTTCAAGTCGATGGGGTTCGGTTCGGTTCAGCTTGACTTATCAACGGTTTGGCTTAACTTTGGTCTCAAGTCGGACCAAGCCAGACCGTTGCCAACACTACTTCTGAGTTTGTCCTTTCCGTCGTCAAATCATTTTTCTTTGTTTTCATTACATTTGATTTTTGATATTCCTATTATGTCTATATTATTATTTTTAATATAATTATAAAAAAATTTACATTTAACTGGATCATTGAAATCTTTAACGTTATGTGTTGCTACATTAAAGAAATGATTGTTGTTTACTGTTGATTTCTATATATATTGAATTGGAAATCGATTCATGAAAGATTACTTCAATATATTTTTCCTTTATAAGATACAGATTATTATTATTATTATTTTTGTTATTATTATTTATGATGTTGTTATTTATAAAGTTATTATTTGTGTATTAGGAGGAACTTATTGTCTATCAATAAATAGGTTTTCACTATCAACCATATCTCGAGTATTAGGTAAGCTTTCTTTAATTTTTTGTTCTAACGAACTAACATGACCTACTATTTGTTGTAACATTTCTATGACTTTATCTTCTGTTGATGGGATCTTTGTTGAAATAGCCTTTCCCTTATTATTATTATTTATATTGTTTTCTTCATCATCAGATCTTACCATATCTTCATCATATTCACTATTGTTATTGTCATAATTTCTATCTTGTTACTATACATAAAATTTTAGGGCTGTTAATTGTTTTGTGATATCTTGTAGCAAGTTTTCAATTATATCTAATCTTTGTGAGTCTAATGGTGTTGAAGCTGTTTTTGTATTACTTATTTTATTCTTTACTACTTTAGCATATGTTTTTTCTCCTGCTTGTCTACTAATTATTTTGAAATAATGCGAATTATATTTTTTATACATTGCTCCAAATTTTTCTATTCTTTTAGTGGCCTTGATTTGAAATTCTCAATCTCTAATCATCCTTGGACATGTAATCGTGAGGTGATCTGTGACTTGGCACCTATAGCAAATTTTAATTTTGATATTAACAATCTGTATATTAAAGTTAACTGTTTTCCATTTAAATTCTATTGCATTATCACATTCTTCTTTAAGAGCAAAAGAAATGATTGTTTCATTTTTCTTTCTATTATTCCTGATATGAGGGAAGTAACAGGTTTTTGCTCCTAACTTTACTACATGAGGAAATAATTCTTTGGCTGTTATACCGTAGGAAAGACCAATAACCCTTGTTGCAAATTCTCCACGTGACTTAAGATTATCTACTGTTTGATCTAGTTGTATTACTCTAATTGAGTCTTCACCATAATGATACTTCAATTTTCTAATATACTTTTGGCTGTTTCTTCCTCTTTAAAAATAACCACAGCAGATTGTCACATGTTATTAGTTCTGAGATTCATTCTATCAATTTTTTCAAAGTTAAATTCTAATTCTATTACCAGTTCTTTGTATTGCACATGTATAGGAATGTAGTAGGGTAAAAACGGGTGTTCTGGCCCACCACTAGTCAACTTGCTATATTTTACACCTCAAAAACACCAACAAGCATATCAATTTTTATATATCAATTTGCTTTTTTCGCCACACAGGAAAGCCACCAACTATACCACTACAAGTATGTGGCATGATTTAATTTTTTCACCCCAAGTATGTGGCGTGATTTATTTTTTTAGCCACATTTTCATATCAAAGTATATTAATTTTTATATATCTAGAACACATTCAATTATCCAAATTCATATAAAAAAGATAACAATTATTTATGATATATAGCTTGCCATTAAAAAAGTTCAAGAGAAGCGGTGAAGGATATGAATTTAATGAATATCCTGATCCCTTCTCAGACGTGAATCAAGTATAAATTGCATACCAATATTATTTACTATAGCAGAATTCAATCTAAAGTCGATTCTTCATTACTTTTCTGGCACACAAAAATGTGACCATATACCTCAAAGGGTAACAAAATTTTGGTAAAGGGTAATAAAAAATATAACCATACACCGCAAAGGGTAACAAAAAATGTGACCATATATCATAAAGGGTAACAAAATTTCAATAAGGGTAACAAAATTTTGGCAAAGGTCACAAATTCTAGGTTAGCTTTTTCAGTTATCGAGAATTCAATTTTGAGGCCCCAGCATGTAATCTATTATAGTACTGGGCCACATAGTACCATTTTGATATATCGAAATAATTAATTAAATAAAAGATTTTATATAAGTAATATATTGTAATTCTGTAACTATACACTATATACAAAAATGGTTCATACATGTAATAGATGTAATAAAACATTTAAAAAATTATGGATGCTTACTCGCCATCTTCAGAATAGAAAATTTTCATGTCAACCTCAAGTCATTCAAACACCTGTTCCAGCTACTTTTAGAACATATACACCCAAAGTGGTTCGATCTTCCAAGATACCGGAACCAGTCTCACAAATTGATCCGGAAGCTGGCCCAGGTCCATCAACCCAAGCCAATAGAGAAGAGATATTACAAAACAATATTCCTTCTGATAACGAACCAAATATCACTTAGGAGGAAATCAATTATTTTATTGCATTGGGTTTAATAGAACCAGAAAACGAAGAAATCTGGCCTGAATTAGGAAGTACTCTTTTAACCGACAAGGTAAAGAGCAAAAAATTTGTTTCAGAAAAATGTACAGATGGATTTACCACTCAATATCCAATACCATCAGGAGATATTATCTTTGAGGAAGCCGAAGTTGGAGATTCAAATAGACCACACCCAAGTTTATCTTCATTAACCAAATGGCAAGCAATTGTCCTATCATACGAAAACCCAGCATATGAATTTAATGTACCTATAGATGATCCAAAAAAATATGCAGAAGCTCCATACATGCCTCACCTTATGGCTTCAGCTCAAGAACAAATTACAAATATATTTAAAGCTGAATTCCAAAGAAAAGACCAGGTAAAATCATCAATAGTGGTATATTGTAATTATATGAAAAAGGAAAAGAAAGATAAAGGTAATTATAAAGTAGAGATTCTATTTTATATCCAAAGATATCACCCTGGAAAGATGCGAGTTATTCTTTCAGAACAAGATATAGATGAGCATATAACATTATCAGCTGGAGAAATAGACACAAAAATCGAAGAGTTTTTAAGCAATGGATCTGAATTGACATTAATTCAAATAGAAATGATATATATTAATATTTATGCATTTAGAAGAGCTGTTGGAGGATCTTACAAATCAACACCAAAAAGACTTGCCAATACTAAATATACAATTAACCCAGATAACTCTAAATTAGAAGATGACAAATGTTTACAATATGCATTCGCTCCATACTTTGCAACTCTTGATAGAGTAACCAAAAATTTACAACGTCTTTCTGTTCTCTTACCATATCTGAATATAGTTAATTTGGATAGTATTCCAATGCCAACACCTATTTACCCTAGAACCTTTCAAAAGATCGAAGCCCAAAATCCTGATATTTCAATCAATGTATGGGAATGGAAAGAGGAAACTGCTATACCTAAACCTGTAATTGCTAGTAAGAATTTCTTTATACCTAACTCATGTCAAGTTGTGAGTTGTGAACATCCTAGACCAAACGAATGCATGACAAAAAGACCACATGTTATTTACCTTATGGCACTTACTGATATTAACAAAACTGAAGATACAGGTAAGTATGGACAAAGGAATCATTTTCTGTGAATCAAAAATCCAGATGGGTTAGTACACAAAGATTCTAAGCATAATAATAAAAAACATCTTTGTAACCGATGCTTTCAAAGTTTTACATCGGAAAAGACATTATCATATCATCAAGATCATTGATATAGATTAGGGGAAGCTCTACAAAAAATAGACATGCCTACTAAGGATATAAATGATATCGAAAAATTCAAGCACTATGCAAGGATGATGATTTCCCTTTGTATAATATATACAGATTTTGAATCAAAAAATAAAAAATGTAACGAATCATATGGTGGAAGCATGTGCAAACTTGGTGAGCAGGTACCTAGTAGCTTTTGTTACTCAGTTCATTGAATTAATACTGGAGAGGTTTGGGGGCCTTTCATATATCGAGGACCAAATGCCACACAAGAATTTGTTCGAAGAATAGATAAAGAATTAGTTCGAATTAATGAAGTTTTAGAAATCAATAATGATATTAGAGATGATAGAATCTTTGAAGTTGATGATAAAACTAATATAGATTATTTAATAGCAAAGCAAAAGTTTGACGAATCAACAGAATGCTGAATTTGCAAGAAGTCATTAGATGGAGATAAGATCTGGGATCACAATCATATCACAGGTAAGTATAAAGGTTCAGCACATAATAATTGCAATCTCCAATTTCGAATTCAACCATGGAAGACACCAATTCCAATAGTGTTCCATAATTTCAGAGGATATGACTCTCATCTAGTCTGTGAATTGGTCGGTCAATCTGTCAACGCATATCAGATTACAGTTATTGCAGAAACTTTTGAATATACCTGCCACCCAAATTCAAAATCCAAATGCCGAAATCCCAAATGTCAAAATCCCAAATCCCAAATCCCAAATT